TTCCATTGAGAGACGGTAAGGATTGGCAAAATATGCGAGAAGAGATGGTCAAGGCATATTGAACCTTGCAGGTTGTCTCTCAGTAGTAGTCCTGCAAAGAGATTGCAAATAGAAAGAAACCTGAGGCTTTCTGGAAAAAAAATTAGCAAACACCAAAGTCTCATAGCTCTTAAATCTTGCCTCGTCACTCTCGAAATTGTCGATCAGCGGAAATCCTCGCTTCGAACGCTTGGAGCCATGGAGTGGTTTACCTTCACCATTTGTAGATGGTCCTTCTTGCGGTTTTGCATGGGATCCGTGTTGTCCATTTTTACCCATGACTTCTTTCATAGCGGAATCAAACGCACGGAAAGCCTGGAAGACAGCGGTCGTTTCGAACATCTTCAACTCTGCTATACTCATGAATAGGTTACTTACGATCATCGAGTCATTCTTACCGACGGGTGCTCCGCCTTCAGCTTTTCTATGGCCTTCATCATCTGGGACATCGTCTGGTTCTCGTTCTCCATTATTTTAGTGAAATTTCCAACAGCTTCCGAAGCGCCAGCCAATTTGGCTACTTTCTGATTCATTTCTACCATGCTTCTGTCGATTTGACTGAAGAAAGTTGTCACTTCGTTCTGAAATATATTGAATTTCATGCAGGGTGAAGGTTTTGTTGGCACAGGCGTCTTCACTTACCGTGAGATTGTTTTCCTTTGCCCAGGCTTTGATTTGTTTCTTCTGCTCAGATATCGTCAACGTTTTGTTGACAAAGATTTTATGGTAGTCAAGTCGGGCCTCCAGGCTCACATTCTTCAGGAATGGTGGATGAAACATTTTCATTAAATAATAAGGGAGATGAGCTGCTGTGACAGCGAAGAAGCAGAATGAAAGGAGAAGTCTCATTCTGAAAACCATTCTTCATGAGTGGAATCCCTCAAAAAACAGAATAAGGAAAACATGTGGATCGAGAATCTCGACTTTTGTTCACACAAAAAGAATAGAAGCCCTAGTGAAGAAACCACAGAAGCTGGTGAGATCTACGTTCGACGTAGGTGAGATGCTTTAATGACAAACTAATGAAAACAGGTTGATCGGGAAATCCCAAATTTTGCTTGCTCAAAAGAGAAGCCTCGATGAGAAAACCACGGGAGGCTGTGCCTTCTCACCCTTAGTCGGCCTTATATTCCGTATTCTGGTGCTCATTTATAGCATTTATAGGGTATTTCAGCTGAAGTTGTGCAAATATCCGATGAATTATCTGAATTTTTCAAAATGTCATCCTTTTGAGGCATTCCGTTTCATTTGCCATCTCGTAAATTTTACACAAC